TATGGGTGAAGATGAGAAGAGTCAGGATTACCTGTCAAAGGTTGAAGCTCTGATGAGAGAATACCCAGCTCCACCTGAGGAAGAGCTCCACCCAGAGGTCTGTGCTGAGAAGGCCTGGACCCTGATGAAGTTTGACAAACAGAAGAAGCTGCAGGCTGCAGAGCTCTTCCAGAGAGCTGTGAGGATGCAGCCAGACAACGTGGAATGGGAGACCAGCTGGGCCATATTATCAGCAGGTCCCTTCAAAGCTTACATGAAAGACATGACTCCTGATGTCTTGGAAAAAGTTAAATCTGCCTCAGAAAGAGATCCAGAAAACTTATATGTTGCTGCTCTTTATCTGGATGCACAAGGTGCAAAGGGAGAACAAATTCAGGATGAAGCAAATGATTTAGCTATAAGAATTCTTGAAAAGCCAATGCACAACTACTGTGGGATCAGCCTGCTAATGAAGCTGTATACAGAGTACATATCTGTAGACGAAGCCATTGAAATAGCCGATGAGGTCTTGAAGAGACATCCTGATTCACGTTTTGTAAAGAGGTCTGCTGCAAAATGCTACACAAAGAAAATATTTTCTCGGCGATGCAATCCTGATCCCAGAATAATTGATAAAGCAATCCGTCTGTGGAAAGAAGTGATTGATGCTTATCCTGATTGTTCCCTGAAAGAAAAAATATCTCTTGCTGCCATCTATTCAATGGTAGACATAGAGAAAGCTGACCAGATTTACACAGAGCTGCTGGACAGAGAAGATCTGGATCCAGCAGAAAAACAGATGCTTTACAAATATTATGCCGACTATTTATACTTCAATAGGAATGATACATATAGGTCTATTGAATACCACATGATGGCAGTAGAGATTCAAGAAGAATCTGTTTATAGACAGTTTAGCATTAATAAACTGAAGAAGACCTTAGAAAGAACCAGGGACCCTGAAATACAGAGAAGGATCACAGAGTTCCTGACATCCCTGGGAATAAATCAGTGAATAAACCTGAAACCGTCTGAAATCCTAATGATGATCATAGAAAATAATAGTGATGTTTTGTAACAGACATGACTCTGATCATGAGTGATACTGGCCACTGGCTACTAATACAAAAAAAAATGTAAACAGCGAAAAATACATCAAAATAGCTAAGGAAGACACCGAAGTGCCAAATGAAGTATGTTAATTCAGCTTTGATGCATTTTCCTTTATCTGGTAAAAAGTTATATTAATATAGACACAGAAAAGGGAAATGACATGTGAACCCTATAGTTTTTCCTTAAATAATATGTTTCTTTAAACTCTCAGACCACTCAGCTCCTCTAGTTCAACCCTTCTCTGTGCACCCACAACTAGAACCAAACATGGAGAAGCAGCATTTAGTTCCTAAGCTCCACCTATCTGGAAAAAAAACCCCAGAAGACTGTAAAAGTGCTAAAAGCCTGAGTTCTTTTAAGTTAAAGTTAAAAACCTATTTGTTTATTCAGGTATCATTAGATTAAGTTTGTGGTCCAAGCTTTTTATTTGTGTTACTAACTGCTTTTATCATGTTTTGTCTTCATTTGTCTTCAATCTGCTTTTATTTTTTTTCATTAAATTTTATTGTGCAATTCATGTAAAGCATTTTGAATTGTTCTTGAAATTAATTATCTTATACAAATAAACTTGTCTTCCCTTTCCTTGCCTTTAAACANTTTATTGTGCAATTCATGTAAAGCATTTTGAATTGTTCTTGAAATTAATTATCTTATACAAATAAACTTGTCTTCCCTTTCCTTGCCTTTAAACAGATGCCCTCTACTGAATGTTGTTTTTTTATGGAGGTAAATTCAAATCCGTATGAAGTGTGCAAAGGTCAGAAAGGATGCAGAAGGATTTTGATTTATAAAAAACCTTTCCTATCACTCCTAATTTAAGAAAATTGTTTTATCTATTCAGATTAGGAAATATAGGTATGCAAATTGTATTTTGTGATAGGGCTGTGTTATAAAAAAATAAAAAAATTCCAATTCTGATTCTATTTTATAATTAATTCCTAAAGATCAATTCATATAACCAAAGATCGTTCAGGTTTCTCATGAGTGTTTCTCAGCAGCAGTCTGCTGGTAATGTTGGAACATAACTCCTTGTTTGCATATTAAATGAGACAAGCACTATTAAAACATGAACCTTGTGCTTTTCAGACTATGTCATCAACTTAGACTCACTCTGGGTGTGCTTGCAGGTAAGTGAACATATGCTTTCCGACCCCATCAGCAGAGGTGAAATGTCAGGATTCCTAAAGAATCCCAAACGGGTGTTTTGTCAAACCAAAAGTGCAGATGGTCTGTTTTTATATTCTGTCACATAAAATGCATTTACGTGAAGCCCACCCACTTTGACAACAGGCGGACATCTCAAATGGTCAATCTGATAGTGCTCAATATAGAGAAAAGTTGGAAACAAAAATTGTCTTAGTTAGGAATGAGGAAAAACAGATATGGGTGCAGCACAACGTCAACGCTCACAAAATATCCTGGTGAGAACCGTATTATTTTAAAAAAGTAAAAAGAAAGCATTTTGCACTGTCCTTAATTTCCTGATGAAATTTGATAAAATTTAAGAATCAAGATTTCGTAGAACTAACATAACTAATAAATTAGCATAACAGCTAAAAAACTGTTTTTACTTTCAGCAATCAGATTTAACATGCAACCAGATGTAAAATAATCATTCTAAAACTTGAAAATGGGCATTGAATCGATTCTTGATATCTAAAAATGACCCAGCCCAGCCAAGGTGTTTCTCAGGTTCACACATTAAAAAAATGTATAAAAAGAATTGCCTTGAAAGAAATTATTAACATCTTCCTACAAAACAAACTTATTGTATTCACTTTTCCTTAACTCTAAATCAAATCACTAAAAGTAACAGCACAGTTTCTCTTTTAAAAGTGAGGCTGATGCTGCCTACTGGGAAAACATCTCCATTAAAAAATTGTTTTTCCAGAATCCCAGTTTCCTAGATTAATGTATTTTCACTCCACAACAAACTAAATTCTAAATAATATATGATATTTATCAGAGGACATAGTGATGCTAAATGAAAACTTATATCTAATTCATTTATCAACATGCACGAAATTACAGAGACCAATACCAAATCAGATAGATTATTGAGTCCTAGGATGTTAATTTCATGCTTGTTGTGAGAGATTGCTGCAGAGTCAAGGATTCAATGCAAGCAAATGTCTGCTGTTGCAAGATGCTCATCCAAAAGGACCAAATCTTGCAAGTTCAGCGACTGGATGCAGTCAGCTGGTTTTCTTTGATAGAATACCTTTTGACCAATCTGGCTGTATGATTTCATCATTGTCTCTGTAAAGGGCATTGTAATTACGTGTGTTGTGAATTTGCACACTGTAAAAAAACTGATTTGAACTGTTAAAGTTTAAGTTAAGGAAAACTACACATAACATGTTGCTTTAAATTCACGCTGTTGTTTTTTTTTTTTATCTGTGAGGAATTTGGAGCTAAATCAATGAAGTTATAAGTCAATTATAACTCAATTTAAGCAGCTTTTATTAATATTTGCAAGTAAAGTGGTATCACAATAAAAAAACTAGGCTAATTGACTAATTAATACAAAATGATCGCTATACCTCATGTGCCATAAAAAAA